GAAAAACAGTAGTATTGGTACCTCAAAAGAAGAAACCAGCCTTCAGCTTAGAGTCAGGGCTCCCTAGCCAGATCATCTTACACTCTAACTGTCCCGAGTGAGGTCTGACCGGAGCCAGAGCAATCTGTGGGCACTGCTGAGGGGCCTTTGTTGGAGGAGACGCATGCCTTCTTAGGAGGAAAATACAACTGATGCTTTCTCTCAAAGGTAACTTCTACTACAACCTGACAACCTGCATGACTTTATAAAGTTTTTTTCTCCATGTGATCTTCAACATTTTAATATTTTTAGTTTTTTAGTTATAGGAGGTAGTTAGAATAGGAATTCTCCCTGATTTATAGAACAGTCGGTTGTTGGAGAGATTCACGGTGTGCTCAGAAGTTACATGGTTAACAAGTAGGACTGAGCTATTAAAACTAACTTGGAATTCATTGATCATTCAGTTTTACTTGTTAACATTACTTATCCAAAGTGTTGAGATATTTTTATGCTTTTTTAAAATATAAAAAAAATACTAAAAAACAGAATGTTAAAAATCTTAATGCCTCTACTTTAAAAAAATGAACAAAGGCAGGCCTTCTGAAGCTAATGCACCCTTCCTCCCCAATGCCCTCAATTTAGCTTGTATTTCTGACATTTCCCTTGTTTGGACAGTCAGCCACACACATGCTCAGAGTTTGTGGGTCATGCTCTATTTACTGCTTTCTATTTTACCTACTCCATCTCCTGATACTACATTTAATATGTCCAATTTTTCCAGCTCAATACCTACAGACCTACCTCATTTGAGAGAAGGCAATATTCTGTGTTACAGATGCCCATAAATTGTTCAGCTGTTGATGGACATTATTGTTTCCAACTCTGCAGTCACAAACAGTACTCCAATGGACTTCTCCATAGCTCCCTCTAAATAGCACTGGCTTAGGGAAACCTCCCTCCTCCCCCCGAAAAAAAAAAAAAAAAATAGTCCTAAAGCTGCAAGCCTACAAACATTCGCATTTGCTAGCTGATGGTCACAGTCACAAATGCATGGGGTTACATAGATCTCTTAGGTGTGACTGGTGCTTGAGCAGTACATTATCCCAGGAGGTTCGATTCCTAGGTGTGCTGGAGATGGCAGGCGAGTACCTTTACCCTCTAAACTGCTGCTTGGCCCTCAGCAACCATGGCTCCTCAGGTTGGTACAGGCACTGCTCACAGTCTCACTTCTCAGTCTTTGCTTGTTTTCTAGAAACATCATTAATCCTAATTTTGGGGTATTAATTGGCTCTTTTGTCCGTTTTATAAAAAACAGACTGGTGGCCTTAAAAGGATACAACTGCTTTCAGCAAAATATGCCTTCTTAAGTGACAAACTTTTGACACACCGGATGTCTCCCAAGTTATGGCTTATGCTAATAAGGAATTAGAATAACTATATTACTTGGGGGGCAAGGGGAGGAGGCTACCGTACGTAATAAAATCAAAGCTACAGCATACTGCTGGCGTGGGCTGAGAGCAGCCCTGAGGCCCCAGACTGAAGTCCGATGGGCGAGGGCAGTGCCAGTCAGCCACAGGGAAGGGCAAAGCAGACCCACAAGGATGCCAGTCTCCATGGCTGCTGGTGTAGCTTCAGGTATCCACCTCTCCTTGGGCTTTCCGGTAAACAGAAAGGGTGACTGTACATACCAAAAGCGAAACTGTGGGTTGAACAAATAACTCAGCAAAGGATTTAATTGAATTATGCCTAGTTAGAGCCCTGTATGTTTATTCTCATGACCAATGCTGTGTGACCAATGCTCAAGTTCCTCATTCCTCATCCGTAAGGTTTGGTCTTGATTATCTCTATTGAAGGAAATCAGAAACATGATGTGATCCTGCATTAGAAACACTGAAAAATCCCTCCAGTGTCAGGAGGCACTTGCAAGAGAGAATCATTGTAGCATTCAGATGACATGGAGCAAATCCATCCTTTAGGACAGAAAAGGTTATGTCCCTGTGTGATACTAAACCTTGTAGCAAAAGAAATTTTCTACCTTCCACAAGTCGCAACTTTTGGTCGTGAGGCATGAAAATATGCCTGTCCCCCAATAAGCACCTGTTTAGAGCCAGCAAGAAACCAGTGGTCAAGGATGCACAGCTGGTAAACATCTGCACTGTGCTGGATGTGTACCGGCAAAAGATCAATCAAGATGAGTGGGATTTCTTAGCTGTGTTGAGCAGAACATTTAAGTAAGGAGCACTTGGGGTTATAAGCTCACACAGGCCAGACAAAGGAACCCTCAGAAATCAGGAGGCCCTCAGAATGGTTTTTGCCTCAGTGCTGGGAAAACCCAACTTTAGACTAAACATTACTCTTCATTCTAATAAAGCTAACAAACAAGACCTGGAAAAATCAAACTAGCTCCAAGGAATGAACTGCAGCCCAGAACAAACCTTTTGAATACTAGTATTTACAGTGATACAAAGATATCTAGCATCCAGCTATATATAATTCACATTACCTGTTATCCAATAAGAAATTACTAGGCAAGCCCTGGCCGGGTAGCTCAGTTGGTTAGAGTGTCATCCTGATATGCCAAAGATTGCAAGTTCAATCCTCACCAAGGCACATACAAGAAACAACAAATGAATGCATAAATAAGTGGAACAATAAATTGATGTTTTTCTCAAATAAAATTTAAAAAAATATCTAGGCAAGCAAAGAATTTAGGAAATACAGGCCTTAATGAAGAAGGGGTGAAATATGAATAAAAAACTAAAACTGGCATAGGTGAAAATTAATAGGCAGATATTGTTATAGTTTGTATTTTAAATGTTCAGGGAGCCAAAGGAAAGACTGAACAAGTTGAGACATGGAAGATCAAGGTTTTGAATTCTTAGAAAACAAAACTCTGATGCAAGAGATAAAAAAGAGAAACTGATAAAAACAAAACAAAACACTAATGATATTAATAGCAGAATTGATTTCATGAAAAGTTTACATTAAACTGTTTCCCCCCTACAACAAAGATAGCTTTCTAGCCAAATATTTTATCAGTATCCAATGAAGACAGCTAAGCTGATCTGTGTTTAGTGTGTCCTGGGCCCAATTGGCTCCTCTCACAGCGCCACCCACCTGGTTCCCATGTGACGAAGAGACTCATTTGGACTCACAGATACAGGTAGGTGGCATGTCACCCTGCCCCGCCCACAATTTGAGGTTTACTTTGTTAAAAAGCACTGACATTCTTTGAACGCTCCAGCCAAGGGGACCCCGAAATCACAGCGAGAGAGAGCAAGGCCAGCAGATGTTTCGAATGTGCGTGAAGAAGCCTTCCACCCGGGGCTCCCAGTCCCTCCTTGCTCCCCTGTTTGTTTTTGCATGCCATCTAGACAGGCGTGGAAAAGGAAAATGGATTTGGGGCTTCACAGAGCTCCCTTGTCTCATGTGGCTACAGTTTTTAGAATGTAGCATTCTATTCATGGTTCACATTCACTCTCCTTCTTCATATGCATCTGTCACATAGAGTCTGCACTACAGGTTCACCCCACTTCAAGAAAATGGGTGCAAGACACAACCACATTCATTAAAGAGCCTTATATTTTCAGAAAGGATGAATTGCATATGATTTTTAAACCACAAATCCCTCGGTATACTTAAGATTCAAGTTTTTAAAAAATCTGAACACAGGCAGCTTTTAGGAAAATATTCTCTAAAATGAGATAGATGTCTACATCCCTATTCAACTTGGTCCTGGCCAGCCTCTTACTTGAGCCCCAGGGCTTCAGTCAATATCATTAAAGGGACATGAAGTCCCTCAAAGAGCCTGGCTCATGGAAAAAAATATTTTTAAATGCAGTTCCACAACATTAGTGCAGGGAACTGAGCCAAGAGAGGAGGGAGGGAAGGCACCGGGCACATGGATTGAGTCCCTGGTTGCCGTCACCTCTGCTCAGAGCCAATTGGACACGGGAATGAGGCTGTGTCTGAGGTTCAGAGCCGGCAGAAAATAGAGTCTAAAATCAATGCCAGAGGCCACCTCTGGAATGGCCCCAAGTGGATGCAGGAAATGCACCGAGGGCCTTCTCAGCCTTCCTCCCTGTTCCTATGACTTGGTTTTGCAGTGTCAAAGGCCCTTGCTGACCCTGACACCACTGTTATTGCTGCACCTTCGCCAGCCCGGACTTGGTGGGCTTCTCCTTGTGAGAGCTGGGTGGAAGGGTCTGAGGAAGGGTCTCTGACACGCTGAGCCTCCGTGGGTATCAGCCTGCTTCCCATCACATCCCTGTGCAAACCTCCGCTCAGGCTCTCCTCCTGCAAGTCTGTCTTGAGTTGCTGCAACCCCAAATGGAATTAGCCCATACCGTGCGGATTGAGAGGAGGGCGGTTAATTCCAGTTTGCAGGCTGCAGCCTTAACACTTTGGAACTTGAATCATGATTCTGAGCACATGTCTGCTCCCTGAGCACACGGCACAGGGCAGTCGGGGTCTCCTCCTGCCGCCCGTGCCCAATGCGCCCGGCCTATTCAGTGTTAAATACTTACCTTTCAAAGCAAAAATAGGATTCTAGCCTTAGCCTCGCAAATAAAGGTGTCAGCTTTCCGCACCATTTCAAATTGCAAATGTGTGATGTTTGAAGGCAGAGCACATCATTGTAAAAATGTGAAATAGGATCATGTCTGTTTGGTTCAGCAAATAGTGTACTCATCTGTGAAAACCCTTTAGTTAACTAGCAACACCTATAACATTTACCTTTCAGCACAGTGACATTTATGTGTAAATACGGTACAAGGGTGCTCTTTAGTATCAAGGATTAGAGGGTATGTCAGCACGCCAACACAACACTTCCTGCCGGTCACATCTGTGACCTCTGAGACACGCCTCCAACACTTGCCTGTGATTGAATTAAATAAAGAATTATCTAGCCTGCTGAATATCTTTGTCCCCTCTAACTTAGGTCCAGTGAACCCTGAGAAAAAAAGTTTAGGGGGGGAAAAAATCTAAGGGAGCAGAAACTTTTTTTTTTTTAAAGCACTAAGTCATGATCAAATACATGATTTTATTTTTTAAAGGATACATTTACATATCGATACATAAGCAAGACATCAGAAACTTCTAAAATAGCAGAGCCTGAACCCCCACAGGCTTCGGTGACACTCGGGAGCCACTGGTCCCCTATTTGGGAGAGAAAATCCCACATTTCAATGTGACCACCCGGCATGCTGGAGAGTGAGTTCAGTCTCCTCGTTCAGGGCTCTCTTTTTATGTCTCTCTCTTCTGTGTATTCTGTTATGGTATAGGTCTGAGTGAAACTGGCACGAAAAGGACCACTATTCAGAGTGATGGTTACAGAATGGATGGTTACAGAGTGGTGGTGGGTGGGGAGCAGGTAGGAAAGGGGGATATTTTCCCACCTGGCTTCTGAGGACCAGGATCCCGAGGGCTTTGGGGTCACAGGTTCCAAATGCAGGGTTGGCCACACCCCAGATCTTCAGCTTCTATTGGATACATCACTGCAAGTTGGATTTTAAAGTTCCTGTTTATGTTGATGGCAGTTGTATTTTTTCAAATTTCTGCATCCTATTGAATATTCTGAAGTAATTGCTTTCTTAAAATATATATATCATTTTTAAAGATCTCAATCTTCAAGATTCCAGACCAAGAGGGACTTTGGACCAAGACTGATGGGAAACCAGCAGGGGGCAGTCTTTCCCAAGAGAGAAAATCTCAATGCCTTCCCGTAAACCAAGGCAAACTCTGAGGGGCACGTGTGGGTGTGAGACTGCAGCGCGGGAGCAATGGATGGAGAGGGCTAGCACAGCAGGAGCTCAAAAACTCAGCGTGGCCTCATCCATGCATACTCCTGACTCCCCAGGAGCTGTGATAAGAGACTTGAAAAAGTCATTGACTGTGTCCAACTCCTGGGCCATTCTTTAATGTGCTGTTACTTAATCCAAACTGTGCACACACAGCCTTAACTACACAGTATAGTTCACAGGCCTTCATTCAGTTGGCACTTAACACAGAAGAGACAGTAAAAATTTTTACACGCACATGAATGACTTGCCAACGCCACTGCTGTGACAACTGATACAAGTGGCAAAGGCTGATCCTTTTGTCAGGTGACTTCAGAAAGATCACCTGAAATCAGTTTGTATAATTACCCATTTGGGTTTTTGGGGAGCGAGGGTGGTGGTGGAATTACAGGAAAGTGCCTCATCCATTGCACATGGGGGGTGCCCATCGGTGGGACTCTCCCCAGTACTGTCCCCCAATCCTGGTGCAGCTCTAATCAATTTGATGTAAAAATGTCAGAATAGTCAAATGGCAGCCATTTTCATTCTGCCTGCTAACTATGGAAAACGTGAGAAGAATTTGAAGGAAAAACAGGATATTTTACTAAAAATTATTCTCAGGAAACTGGAGCAGCAAGTCAAATACAGGAGGTCATTCCAGCAACGAGGCTGGGGACCTATTGGAGAGAGGGACGAAGGTGGTTTCCGTTTTCATGCTGGATACGGAGGTGAGGAGCCTGACTTTGTCCCCACACAGTGAGCACAGCGAAGCATGTGGGATCCTAAGTCCCTGCTTCCATGGCCCAGGCACTGGAGTGCAAAGCAAACTTTAACTACAGGTATGTTCATTTTTGAGAAAATTGTGGCTACCTGTTCCTTACTCCTAACACGGGGAGAGAAGCCCTGCAAGAGAGCCCAGTGTTTGAGTAATGGTCACCTTCCTGGTCTCCTGGGGACACACCCTCGGTGTGAAGGCTGTTGTGTTTGGTTGGCTTGTTTTCCCAAGAGAGGCTGAAGTTATTCTTGCATTAATTACCCTTAAAATTGCCAAGAGAAAAGAGGTGGGAAGATGGAAAGGGAGGCCCAGATTCTATTTAGTAGATGAGAGATACAGATTCACAGAAAGTAGCAGAAATGGAGGAGCCATGTCAGGATGGGGCAATGTCCTGAGGGCGAGTCCCTCTTGTCAGGCTCCTGGGAGGAGTATGTTCTCCGTCCCTCCACTGGCCCACTTTTACATGCAGATGACAGCTTGTAAGAAGCAAAAAAAGCTGGGGATGGCCAGAGGGCAAATCCCAAGTCACTCTGAAGCAGGAGAGAGCAGGACATTGGAGAAGCCCAGCTGGGCCTGCTTTAATGACGGCTAAGCCCTCCTGCCTGGAGCGGTGGGAGCAGCCAGCTGCTTCCCTGGGTCAGGAGTGCAGTGATGGCATCTGGAATTCTGCAAAATGTGCAAACAAGGAGGAGCAGATCCCTATCTCAATAGTCATGCCTACAGAGACAGGGATGTGTGAGGGGAGCAGGCCCTTGCCTAGAACCTCTAGGCCCACCCTTCAGGGCATCACAGTGAAGTCTGCAGCGCTCTTAACTCCCGATTTGGTCATTCTGACAAGAAAGTCACCCTCAGGAATGCCCTTCCACAGGGTGCCTCCTGGACCAAAGATCCCAGTTGGGAAGGGAGACTCAAGTGCTGGGCCCAGTCATAACTGGGAAGAATGCTCCATCTCCAGTCTCCAGACCCGCCATCTCTCCAGAGCCCAGTGGGGCCTGAGGTTGTTCCTAAATCGTCCACTATTCCTGCCAGCCCCTGATTTGGCCTAGAGTCCCAGCTCGCAGACGGGGTGGGGACCTTCAAAGAGCCCAACAGTGGGGTTAGCCTGGCTTCACCTGCCGAGTGACCCTTCCAGACTAGAGGCTCCAACAGAAAACTTCCCTTCCACACAGCACCAGCATTTAACACGGGTATTAGCAAAACAGACATATGACAAAGGATTTTTTTAAAAATAAAATGTGTTGTCAAGACTTGCCCACCCAACAGATTTCCTAGGTCCTGGCTCTTGTCCAACGGGCTAATTTCCAAGTGCCCGAGGCTCAGAGTAATCCCAGAAACCTGTGCAGCATGGGTACAACGGTGGTGGCACAGATGCCAACCGACGTGTAGGTGACAAACTTGTAAGGCACTTCGATCTCCAGCCTCCGCCGGGCCTCCTTGTTCCTGGTGACCACCTTGAACCAGGAGTACAAGACTTGCAGCGAGAGATTCTGGACAACTTGCCGAACCAGGAGGATCAACACAATCCCCACCATGAATTTGGTCAGGCCCAGAACCAGCATGCCCGCGGTGAGCGGGGGGATGTGCTGGATGACAGGCAGAGCCTCCGTGGGGTCGGCCACGAGCTGGAAGAAGTGGTTGATCCAGAACCCGGTGGTCACCCCGGCCCCTGCGGCCACGATGGTGGTGGTGTCCGCCCTGGTGGGGCTGTAGAACTCAGACACGGGGTAGTTGTAACACAAGAAGAATGGCACCACAATGGCACACACGGGGAAGAGGGGGCTGGCTGAGCCCAGGCGGTCGATGAGGGTCCAGGCGGGGTAGGTGAGGACGATGAGGACCGCGGTGATCAGGATGCCACCCAGCACATCCTGCGGGGGAGAGAAGAGCCAGTGAGTGCGTCCCTGTGCGCGGGCAAACTTGGAGTCAAATATGGCTGACTTGATACTTGAAATGCACAATTTTCACATTGTTTTATTTTTTTTAGTACGTGTTTGAGAAATGGAAAGTGGTAAAAATTATAGGAAAAGATACAACAATCACACTATTCACATTATGCATTTTCTTCCAGTGTTTCTGTCTTTTGGAAGAAATTCTGTGTTTGTTTTCTTAATGCATAGCTTTGATCACATTGTTCCTACAATCTGCTATTACTTTTTATTTAAATTTATGATAAGAACTGCCATGGTCTTCACAGGCTGGAGGGGGAAGGAGCCACAGTCACACAGCAGCAGCCACTCCTACAGGGTGGGTTGAGGAGTCATTTTGGCTTTGGTGGTACCGAAGCTCCACCAGGACACAAACTCCCTGAGGGGCTGTTCTTTGCTTGACTTAATCCTTCTTTAGAGCATTTTAGATAGTGGTTTTTCTTCCCCATTTTTCCCTGTCTCCTTTCCTCTCATCCTTAAATGCCTGTTAAAACATCTTTATCTCCTTAATATCATCTGCTTTGTTTTTCCTTTAGTGTTCCCATTGCAAACTTTATTAGAAATGAAGTCAATTTAATTAATGGACGAATACATCTACATCAGAATAAGGAGCTTGCTATGGTTTTGTTACAGTTCCACGTAGATTATTTTGAGAGTTTACTGGTTGAAAAATGTAAAATGTTTCCCCCAGTGCACTGGAAAATCTAGAAGACACCAGAAAGAAATACATTTGCATTGTAGATAATCTGTGAAACACCGAAAAGTGTAAGAAAAAAATAGATCCTTTATTATTTCTCTTGGAATTCTTGGAAGATGTTCTTTCTTCTGAACACTGTTCCCTGTGAATGTACACCCTTTTATTTAGCAGACCTTTAATATTTCCACTACCTAGATCCAGCCTTGACTATATTCTGACATCTTGCTTTCCACTATTTTTTTTCATATAATAGAATTCTAAAGGCTTGGTCTTTCATTTTATAATTTCACTATTTCTCTTGCTTAGCTCCTAATGACATCTCAAACAAGGGGTGAGAATTAAACCTTAGGAAAAATCACCAAGGCTACAGTAAATTTCTGGATGAGTGGGCCTGAAGTTCTGCAATTCAAGAGGGAATGAGGCTAACGTGTGTGTATCTTGGTGGTCCTTGGGGCTGGAGAATAGAGAGCAAACACAGGCCAGAGACACCTCAGACAAGACCCTGAAGTCCAGTCCACTCCATGAGGACTGCAAGTGAGAGCAAAGGGGAGCCACTGAAGTAGCTCTCACTGGGTACCAGCTTAAGGAGACCTTCACTTTTAAAGGATCATTCTGACCTCAGTGGGGAGAACAGACAAAGAAGCAAGAGTGGATGGGGAGACTGCCTGCCTCCTCACGAGGAAGCCTTGTGGTCCCACTCTCTCTACACGGCCCCTGGACTTCACCTGCTCTTTCTTCCGCCACCATCTCTCTCCTCAATGATCCCCATGGGCAGATTCATAATCTCCATGGTCTCCTTTCCCATGATTCCTTTCTCCATGCCTATTCATATGCACTGATGTTGTCTTATTTTTGAAAGAAGGAAAAATCCTTCATTTAAGCATCCTGTTTCCAAGTAAAGTCACACTTTTGGGAGTAAATGTTCTATACCAGTTGCCCCCACTTCCTCAACGTGAAACACAAGTGCTGCTTAAATTCCTAGACTTAGAATACACCATTTTCAAAGGCCACTCAGACACACAGTGGTTGTTTTTTCAGCATCTATGTCTTTGACCAAAGAGCCTCATATTTTCCCTGGGGAATCCATGAGGTTCTGGAAAATTATGGAATTGGAGCACATGACCTAGGTAGGCCAATCAGTGCACTGTATCTCCTGGTGGCAGTGACCAGTATAGGAGTGGTTACATGACCTACGCCAGTCCAATTGGAATTCTTAGAAGGAGATAGTCTTTCTTCTTCTGAACACGGTGACCTGTGGATTTACACCTTTTATTTAGCAGACCTTTAATATTCAGTTTTTATTAATGTTACCCTGCACCAGCCTAGCTCTTCTTTGACCCTTAAGAAGTCTCTCCTTTAGATCTTTCTCCTGTTTCCACATCCTAAACATGGGCATTTCCATAGGTTCTGTCTTCAAGCCTTGCTTGTTTTCTCCTCTGAAGAGTTAGTGTGGGTCTACCTTCCGTTATCTGTCAGTGTGACTCTCACATCCATGTCTTCAGGTGTCTCTCACAAACCTTCATCCTGCACTTGTTAACAGAATGCTAGACATTTTTAAAAAAATATGTTTTTATTGATTTTATAGAGAGGAAAGGAGAGGCATAGAGAGAGAGAGAGAAACATCAATGGGAGAGAAATGTCATTGATCAGCTGCCTCCTGCAGGATCCCTCACAGGGGAACTTATGACCAGGAATCAAACTGATGATCTCTTGGTTGCTGAGCCGATGATCAACACCTGAGATATATTGGCTGGGCCAGAATGCTAGACATTTTCATCCAAAGGCCCAATGAGCCCCACAAACCAACTGTCTAAAATAAAAATCACCCACAATCAAACAGAAAAATGAGTAAGGGAAGTGAGAAGTCTATAGAAAAGGACTATGGATGCCCTTTAAACATATGGAAATGTACCTAAACTTACCCATAAAGAGGTTTATGTGAGGAGAAATTAAAACTTATACAAAAATTGGACATGAATATTTAAGCAGTTTTATTAATACTTGCCAGAACCTGGAAACAACCACAATGTCATTCAGGAGGAGAATAGGAAAACTGTGCTACAATCATACAACAGAATATTTCTCAGCAATAAAAAGCAACCAACTATGAATGCAGCACCAGCTTGAAATCTCCAGAAAATTATGCGGAGAGGGAAAAAAATAATCTCTTAGGACTACATATGGTATGGTTCTATTTGTATGAAATTCTCTAAAAGATGTACTTACAGTAATGGAGACAGAATCAGCGGTTGCCAGCGTCTAACATTAGGGGGGTTGGGGGGGTGGAGCGTGTGACTATAAAGGGATAGCATGGAGGAATTATTTTGGGGTGACGGAACTATTTTGTATTGTGGGTGTGTCTACACAAATCTATATATAATACATTAAAATTTACATAACTTTACACCCAAAGCAGTCAATTCCACTGTTAATTTAAAAAAAATAAAAATTATGATTCAAACAAAAATTAAAAAGCTAGTGTTCTCTTTGGCACTGAGTAACACTTCTGAGCAAACTGCTACTGAGTGTAAAGTGGTGTGCTAGACCCTGAGGTTCCCAACGTGTCCCCTCCTCACCGCACCCCATGCTGAGAATGTGCCTCTCACCTACCAGCGTAAACAATAATCTGGAGGTGTGACAATATCTAGTTGATGAAACAGGAGAAGGGAAAAGGGACTTGGTTAATCATATGAATGCAAAATGGCACAACCCTTATAGGGAGGAACTTGGCAATATTTTTTAAAATTACAAGTTCATTTAACCTCCGACCCAAAATCTCACTCTGGAACTGGACCACACGGATACACCTGCCCACATCTGAAATGAGGCATTTACAAGCTGTCAGCTGTAGTTTGCTTGTAAAGGCAAGAGAATGGAAACGCCCAGTTCCACCTGTAGGAACCAGATCAATCTACCCATGGCCTGCTCGCAAGAGGAAGCTCCGCAGCTGGAAAAGAGGAGGAGGCTAGGATGTGGAGCTTTAAAAAGCATGATGTAGCCCATGTGGTTGAGCAGTGAGATTCCCAATCATACCTAGTTTTGGGCTCTATCCCCAGTAGGGGGCATGCAGGAGACATATCTCTCTCTCTCTCTCTCTCTCTCTCTCTCTCTCTCTCTCTCTCTCTCTCTCTCTCTCTCCTTTCTCTCCTTTCCTCCTTCCCTCTATCCCTCCCTCCCTTCCTCCTTTTCTCCCTCCCTCCCTCCGTCTGTCCCTCCCTCCCTCCATTCCTCCCTTTCTTCCTCTCTTTCTTTCTCTCAAAATCAATAATAAAACGGCCAAAGGCAATGCTGATATCAGTGAGTCCCAGTAGGAAACACGGGGAAATAGTAGCCTGCCTATCAATCAGGGGTCAGAGTCCTGTGTGCTATGGGTTGGCTTAATCGATCATTCCAGGGTTTCTCTCACCACTTTCCAATCTGAACTTTCCACTGCAGTCACACAGGTCTACCTGCTTTGCTTAAATGTGCAGGTTTATCCTCAGAGCTTTGTATTCCTTTATGTGTAGCACACTTGAACCATCTCTATCAGAACCTTATCAGTTCACCTGAGGCTCAGGTATCGCCACAGTTGCAAATAACCTCTCCCTGAACTGAACAGGAAGGCACTTGCTCAACATTACTCCAAAGGCCCTTCCCTTGTATTGCCTTTGCTGCAGGTCTTTTCACAGGCTTTTCCCGAGTGGCTTATACCTCAGTCAGTAAAGACGAGCTCTCGTGCATGTTTGCATGATTCCTCATTCCGAGCTCAGTGCCTGACAAGCAGCAGACATTCCATCGTTGTGACTGGAGATGTTAGTGCTCTTCTTTTATACTGTGCATCCAGAGCATTTAATATGCATTGCTCCAATACACAAAAGAAAAACTGCCTTCCTTCTCTGTCTTCCTCTGTAAACTGCAGTTATCAAATTCCCAGGCATCTGGTTGGAATATTCATTCTAAAACGAATTCTGTTCATCTTCAATACATCAGGAGACTAGACTATTTTGGTCCACAGACTCAGCATTTGAGGCAAAAGTAATTTTAGTCAATGTGGCTGCTGGTGTAGTTTTTTTTTTTTTTTTTTTTTTTTTTTTTTTTTTTTTTTCCTTCTAGCCCCACAGATGAACTTTTAGCCATAAAAGGCGATAAAAAGATGTCTAGGTATTTCTGTAAGAAAAATACTTGAACCATCGCTCATGAGATTTCTAATTTGGGGCTCTTAAGTTTTTAATAACAAACTGCTAAAAGGCTTCTAAAAATAAGAACT